ACCGTTAGTATATAAAGTATTATAAGGAGTTACCTAATTATGTGACTATATTACTTTGTACATATATAAATACGTTGTAAAACATTTCAAAAAACAAAAAAGGAATATTTTGCATAAAATCAAAAAGGAATAGAAATAAAAGTAAACAAATTTCACGTTCACATGCCTTTATTGGTTTCCACATATGAATTGTAAATGATAGAATTTTATGCTAGAAATTGGTAATATTTCAAAAAACGAAGTTGTAACGATAATTTTCAATGGAAATTTTGCAAAAGTATTCTTCAGAGTAAATAGGAATTCTAAATGAAACATTCAAGACAACTTGTAAGCGATTGAACCGGATCACCAAATGATCAATCCGGAAAAATAACAAATTTCTGCAAATTTGTAGACATATGCAAATTACAAACAGCCCTTAATTTCGTTCAGTCAAAAACCACAAAAAAATATCCCTTATATTGAAATGCAAAATCTTTTCGTATTTATAGATTATCAAAAAACTTTCCCTATCTCAGAACACTACTACTACTACTACTACTACTACTACTACTACTACTACTACAGCTGCTGTGCAGGCACGCAAGTATGGAAGTAACTCAAAAATTAAAACACAAATTAATTAATTAATTAATTGTGGTTGTAGTTTAATGAAAATATCTCATTGTTTCAATACTTTCTATTGTTATTCCATTCATTTCATGTATGTTATCACCGATTCGTATTGATTTTCAATTCCAACTCTTTTGTTATATACTGTTGTTACAGTGGGAAGAGCCGGCGAATAATGTAATAAAATTTTTTCCCGCAATACGCAAAAGTGACAGTCTTTTTCCTGTCTCCTTTTTTCTTTTTGGATTCTTCCGCTTCAATGATATGAATAACGGCAGCGGAGCGGAGATGGTATCTACTTCTCACAGACTTTTCAAATCATTTGTCAAATTTATTCTCTTTTTGATAAAATTTTCTTTTTTATCTTCCTCTCTCCTTTCCCGCTTTCTCTCTCTTTTCCCCTCTCTGTTTCTTCATTTTTCCATACTTAAGATAACCTAATCAAATAATTGCATCATTTTGAATCATTCTAAACGAGCAACACCTCAATGTTACACTTCCTTTTCTTGCCATTATTTAATCATTTCCTTGTTCATTTTAATTAACCTTACCTTCTATTTAGTGTTATTTGAGAAAGTATGAAATAATCTCATTACAGTTGAAACTAATTAATATTAATTAAGAAAGATGTGAAACAATCTTATTGCAATTAAGCTTAATTAATATTAATGCTAATTTAGCATTCTCATAAAAAGCAAATAAATAGTGGGTGAAAAGGAAAAAAGAAAAGTGAGAGGAAATGGAAGTAAATTATTAGAAAAGAAAAAAATGTATGGGTAAAATTGGTCAATTGTTTATTGCTTTTAAAACTAAAATTATTCTTAAATTACTTTATTTCATTAATTTTGTTAAATTTTATTTTTTCGATTTTTTTTCATTTACGTTTTTTAAATTTTACATTTTTTTATTCATTCCTTTTTTAATTGATATTTCAGCATTTGTTTAGCATTTATTTATGGTTTAATTACTTTATCTATTATTTATCAGATACTTTTCATATATTGTTCAACTTTATAGCTTATTTTGTTTACTTTTTTTTCTTTCAAAATCTTTTTAGATATGCTTATTGTTGCATCCATTATTGATGGAGAGGATTAAAGGAAAGATGAAGATTGGAAATCATCTCATCCTAACATAAATCTTAGTTTAAAAGTTATCAGTCCATAATACATGTGTCATCCCTACTACATAGCTCTTTATTCATACTTGACCTATGAGTTCAATACTATACGTACTATGGCCGCGTGAAATAGCGCTTCTTCATTGGTTAGGAGAATCCTTTCTCAGTAATTTGAATTTCAATACATTTATGATAAAGAGTAATAAATTAATCGAGCAAAGAGGTATAGTATGAGGTTGTATAGGGTATTAACGGCAAAGGATTAATCTTTTTTTCCGTGGAAATTGAAATATTAAATTGAAAATGCCAATTCAAATTTAATCGAAAGTCATCCAAGATAAAAATAATAAAACGATGAAATCATGCCTGTTAGGATACTAAAGTAATTGTACAGAATGAGATTTATTGCTATCTTTTTTAACGACATTTTGCTTTAATTCTTAAGAGTAATAGAAATATGTGTTATGCACTATATTCGGTAGCTTCTATAAGATTTATGTGATCACATTTTACTCCAAGTACAAAGTGAATAAATTTCATTTTTCATTTTTCTGTTTTTTCCGAAAGATAGTGAAACTGTTGTAGTGTTTTCATCACCACTAAGTAATGTTTTAGAATATGAGTAATCATTGTTTTATTGGTTTCTGCAATGACAGACAGAATTATAAACTGTAAAAGTACAAAAGCATCCTGTGCATCGTCAATGTTGTCTTTATATATTAATGAATTTCGTTTCACTTCAAATCGATTAGCTCAAATTTTTCAGAATAATATTTCTAAAAGATGGCTACTTCGAAAAGGCCACCTGATGATGATTCGAAATTGCCAACCTATAAATTAGTAGTTATTGGTGAAGGTGGTGTAGGTAAATCTTCCTTGACGATACAGTTTTTCCAGGTTTGCTATTTTATAATTTCCGTTTTTGTATGAGAGGTCTTTTACTTACTTGCATGTATAATAATGATAATAACTTTTCATCAATAAACACTTGTAGAGGTTGTATGAACACTCTACACAAAGAATAATGATAGCATTAGACAAGTGATACAATAAATGAAATATAAGTTTGATTTTAGAAGCATTTTGTTGATTATTATGATCCAACGATAGAGGATCAGTATATTATCCATGCCGAAGTTGATGGTCAATGGGTTATCATGGATGGTAGGTATATATTTAGGCAACGTTTTGTGATATATTTTTCTTTTTCGAAGTTTATTTGTAAACTTATTATCCAACTAAGGGAATAAAACTGCACGCTTCGGATTTTCATGTGCATCAAAAATAAATTCTTTCATTATGCTTGTAGCAATTTCAGCGTTTATTCCAATCTTAGCAAAGTACAAAAAAGGATAATAGTTAGGGAATTAGTATAGTAAAAGTAGGTATTGTTTGTTAATTTTGTTTAGCAAGCTTGTTGTATTCTCAGATTTGTCCATATTTAGTTTCATATTGCTTAGTTTATTTTAATTAGATTGGGGGCCTAAGCTACTTTTTTATTTAACTGGATAAGTTTAAATAGAAAGTACTGATTTGAAAGAAATAAATGGCGAGACATCAGTGAATGGCATTAGTATGTTATGTATATTTTGATTTTAAATAAGATTTTTTGTCAGAAATTTCCTTTGTTTACTACATGAACTGTACCGTTCACTACTGAAGTGTTTCCTTGATTGGGCGATTTTTCAGAAGAATGGCGTACAAAGCTTTTTCAGTCACTCATTAGTCTGCTAATTATACGATACTTGGTTCGTTTGAAGCTTGCAGGAGCTTATGTTCTACCATCTCTCGATGTCTTCTCTTTTTCATGCATCATAGTCACGCTAAAATTGAACTGATAGTGAATTTTAAGTGTTGGATACCGCCGGACAGGAAGAATTTTCCGCAATGCGTGAGCAGTATATGCGTAACGGCCGAGGATTTCTGCTGGTATATTCTGTAACCGATGTTCGCAGTTTTGAAGAAGCACCGAAGCTTTTTGATCAAGTATTACGAGTGAAGGATAAAACAGAATATCCTGTACTGTTAGTAGCAAATAAAGTAAGTTACAATGAAGTTTTATCTCATGAACTACTCTTTTAACAACTATCATTCCCATCACCTTATGTAATCGCTTTGTTAGCTACTTTGTAATTATGACTGGTAGTCGTGCTTGAATTTCTTCATGTGCAAATTTATTCTCATGCTTAAAAAATAGTCTTACTTATGACCTCTTACTGTTTTTCTGTCCCTCTCTCTCCCCTTCGCTTGAAATGAGCACCTTAATTTAAACCACTGTTCAGCTTATTAGTTGCTGTATCTGTTTAAAAGGTCTTGGCTTAATTAAAATCACTCCTTCTTTGCTTAACCAATGAATGGTATGTATATTATTATCACTAAATTGCGAAATTATATCAATATCTGCCAATCAGTGCGTAAGATTTATGTTTACATATTTGGTAATTAATGTTCGTAGTTTTAAGGAAACACTACATCTTTTTAATCAAATGTTATTAATTCCGAACAAAACATAATATTCTGTATTACTAGTAGTTTAAATAAGGAATGTTACGGTAAAATTTTGCATAGGTTAGAAATTAAATATTTATAATTTCCAGATTGATTTGGTAAGTCAACGAAAAGTAACGGAACAACAAGGGCGAGAGCTAGCCGACCGACTCAAAGTTCCATATATTGAAACATCAGCCAAAGATCCACCGGTAAATGTGGATGCGGCATTTCATGAATTAGTTCGTATTGTGAAAAGTTTTCCAAGTGATGAGGATAACGATATAGTAAGTCCATTGTATACATTTGTTCTTATATTGCAGAAAACATGTCTTATTGTTTTGGGCTGCATCATATTGCATTTATTCAAACCTGTACTTTTTCTTTTTTTTTTTGCCATACAATATCTATTTTTGAGTTAATTGAAATATAATGTCGAATCTAACTGTTAGTAGATTATGATTCAAAAAATGATAGTTCCATGAACTCTCACCCCTCCGTTTATAAGCAGAAGTCAGTTGGTTTTAGTTGTTCGTATACTATTATGAATGAAGACTGTTCTCATTTACTCCGGAACGGAATGCCTCTCGTTACTTTTTTTTTTCTTAATTCAGAACATTATCTTACCGCAGCTAGTGCTGCATGATCTAGTTTGGCCTCTTACATTTACATTATATTGGAATGTGTATGAGTATTTTATAATCCAGCGGGCAGCAAATTTTGTATGTTCTTAACTATTTTAATGAGGGGTCACTTTGAGCGACAATTTTTGTCACAAATGCATAGAAATTTCAAAAGCGGAACATCAACGTAATCATTTCAAGAGCATGATTATGATCTATACGTCATTAACTTAAAGCACATATATAACTCTGTATTAGCAAGGTTTAAACGAGCATTCTATACCCAAAAAATACCAAATTTCAAAACATTTAAGTGAAATTTAATTGCTGGTGATTGAAATGCTATTTTATCTCAGAATCACGGCACAGTTTCTTATGGTGGTAGCAGAAAGAATAAGAAAATGAAGAATAAATGCCGGATAATGTAGTATTCCGAATTAAACTCTGGAATAAAGTACCGTTCATTTCTTGTTCACTTTTAATGGTGGCTCTTCCTGTTTATTCTTGAAATCTGTTTCAACTTTCACGACAGTCAGAAATATTTGAAAATTAACAGCAGAACATCAGCTACGAAGGTTTTGCATTATTCTTATTTGTTTTTACATTTTCATTTTTCAGGTTCATTGCTCCTATGTAAGGACCTTTTATATTTTTTTAATGTGTGATAGGAACAATTTAATCTTATAAAATGATCGCTATTGTATTAAAAATTATTTTCAATATAATGTTTTTGGTGTTTGTATGATCATAGACTAAGTATAGTTATGGTGGTTTCTTCCAGAATTATTCAGCTTCGTGTTTTAACTTTTTCTTTTCATCCGGATATATTGGCTTGAATGAGCTATCACTTTGATTATGTTCACGTTCATCTCGTCTAAATAATAGTTCACATAATTCAGAATCGATCAGGGATTGGAAACTTGATGCGTTATTGAAAATAATTTTTAAATACCCAGCTGTATTATAACTTGTTATCGTTGTGTTTTTATTTTTATTTGCTCACTTTCCTGCGTACATACCCCTTTAATTTTTTTTAATTTGTTAGAATTTTGAATTTTTTCCTTCAATTTCATATTTCACTTTTCCTTCATTTTATTTATCATTTCAAGTGCCTTTTATATTCATAATTCAGTAATTTCATTACTATAATTCAATAACACGAGCAATTCTATCTAATTTCTTTCCTTATCATTGTTTTGCATTGTAACCTGAATTTAGGATAACCGTTACTGTCACAGCATAGTTAAGAGAGAATATCGATGAGAATACCGTACAATGTAGTTGGATGCAGTTAGACATTATATTTGAATATTTCTTAATGATATATTAATTCATTATATCTTTAATACTGTTCGAGAAGTATCATTTTCTCGATGAGGAAAAGTTAAAATATGGATGGAGTTATGGAAGAAGATACAGAAATGTGATACTTCTCTCAGTAATTGAAAAAGCTGCTTCAGGATGAGATTTCTTGCTTCCATGTGTGTTTAGTTTTATACTTGACTGTATTAACTATTGCGTCCTAACCATTTGTTGATATGTCACGAGGGATTATTTTGTGATTTTTCGGAATTCTCTATGTCATTCGCTGTTTATTATTAGTTATTATTGTTATTATTGCTATTGTTATTATTACTATTGTTGTGAATAGTGGATTTGTTATATTTAAAAAGGCATCAAATAAATAAGAAATATAAGTGTAATGGTGATGGTATTATTGTACAAGATCATAATTTCAGACGTATCGGTTTTAAATTGTGACGGTATGGTTTTCATCCTTGAGATTGATTGCCTGAAATCATCGTCTAGAAATATACTATACTTTGCCATCCTTTTATTTCTTAATGTCTCCTTGATCAATTATTAACATGTTTGGGATTGATTTAGGAATAGTGCTGCAGGTTAATGTTTTCTGAAGCGATTTCTTAATGAAATATTAAGAGATGAAGAGTTTGATTGCTGTTTGGTAAATCTATTGTCCAAAATAGTTTTCATAATGCATTAATCTAGATATTTCTAGATTAGTTCGTATGTGATTCGTAAGTGTAAACATATATAAAACATATGTTCAAATACATTTGGTGTTTGAAATATACAGGGAACAAATTGGTATGGCAGAGGATTTGGTTCATTCTAGCTTTAGCTTGGATGAAGCGTTCAGTTTTGTTTTCGACAATTCACCTGGTGAACCAGTTACACCATATCGGGTTTGTTTTCTCCTTTTTATTTTCGATATGAATAGATCAAATATAGTTTTTAAAACTAGGTCGCTATAGAATAATTCAGGTCGAGATGATGCATGCCAAAAATGATAAAGTTTCCGTTGTATTTGCTGATGAAGAAATTTTCGAGATATTTCAGCTTGCCATATATCTTCTCATACGAGTTTTGGATGCGAACCATCGATTGAAGCCGTTTACACACAAAGAACAATATCAGCTATCGTCGTTGGTGCATTCACTTTTAAATGCAGTTAATCTAAGCTTTCCAGAAATGATTGATATGGTGATGGCACCGCTGAAAGAAGTTTCAGTAAATTTATTTTTGGAATTTACGACAAAGTGAGTTTTCTTATCTTCATTATTAAATTTTTAGTTAGGATTATGGAAGTATTTGAAGTTTGTCCGACTTCAATTATAGTGTTGAAAAATAAGACCGATAGTCAATCAGTTAATATTATATATGAAGTTTTTTAAAAAAAGGACGTAATAAAGGGATTTGTGATAAATGAGGAAATTGCAATTATTAAGCACATTGTTAGTTTGTGGTTTTATTATTTTGAAATTTTCTATTTTATCTTGGACTTTTCAGTTTGAATTGACAAAAATTTTTACAGAATAGATGCTCATCGTGGAAATGTGGAAGTACTTATCCGTCGTGATGAATTATTTTATCAGCCTCGAAAGCTAGACCGTTTGGGACAACCATTCGTTTTACCCAAAAGTCTTATCGGTATTTTTGTTCGCAAGGTATTTTGTTTGGTCTTATTGTTGTTTCGCTAATTTTCAGGGGTTCATCTTTCAGCATTCAATCTTCATAAATTGGCATAATCGAAGTTAAATTTGATTGTGATGCATGGAACGACATATGGTGAAAATGTTGGAATTATATAAATGCTCCAAACACTTTTAGTTGGCAGTCACACAAGCGTGCCAAAGTGTTACGCAAATTCAACGGTCACATAAACAGTGGTTGGAATGGTTGGATGATTCTCGTCCCGCTGCTCGTAGTGATCTTTTTGGTGGTTATGCCAAGAACGTGTCTAATTTGACCGCTTCATCTACATCAGGTGCCATATGCAATTATATTTTCCTTTTATATTTTACATGTTTACCACATAAATATGGTGTTGACGAAATGATTTTACAAATTGGTACTTTTATTTACTTGTTTATTTATTTTTTATAACTTTATAATATTCGTTTACTGACACTCATGGTATTGTTTTTGGTATTCCTAAATTAGATAAGTAGGCAACAAACAGCGTATTCAGCAAAAAAAACGACAGTGATTAATGATGCAATCAATTTTGACATTGTACTTTTAAATTACAGAAAATATATGTGAACTGGATGTTTAGGTGATACACATCTGGCTCCTCTTATAGACGACATAATGCACTTGAGAGTTACACCAATCAAAGACAAGTAAATTTATCGTTTTATCCATACTGTTGATAAGCTGTTGTTTAATTGATTGACGTTGAAGGGTTTGGATGCAGCTACTGGTAGCTTGTAACATTTTTCATACAGTTCATTCAGGAAAAGCCTTTTATGTAGTAGCATAAGCTGTGATATTAATGATGTGAATTTGATTCCAGTTTATAAAGAAATAATATTTCGAATTTGTCGAGAAAACACGTTCATGTATCACTTCCAGGGCTACAAGGATGAGTGAAGAATTTTTGAAAGCCTCAATATCACCAGCGAGTAGAAAAAAAAAAGCAGTCGAAGTTGGACACCAAGACAAGCAGTGCAGAAGGAGTCTTTTCAGAGCTGATGTACCACTGCCACCTACAACACTTTACGAATTACAGCAACATCCTGGTGCGCAACCACAACTAACTGAGCTGCTTTCTTCAAGTAGAGCTCGAGCTCTTATCAGCCGACAGTTGCATGCGTTGCATGTTTCACCGGATGATGCAATGGAAGAAAAACAACTGAAGGCTGCGTGCGATTTTATTAAGAAACATTATCCTGATTTACCGCTTGTAGTTAGTTTACACTTTTTACCACTTAAAATTATTAAACAAGCTTACCGTTTAAAGAATTTCGAGATCTTGAGGTTTTAAAACTGCACTACTGATGATTACTTTAACAAGTATTCATTTCGTTATAATAACATAAGCTACCTCACTGCATCGTGACTATACAGGACATAATTCGATCACTACAATCGTTAGTATGTACATCATCACGTTTTGAGTCATAACACTTTTTTGATAGTTATTGATTTTGAAAGTCTTATTTATGCCTGTATCTTTCTCAGAATTGTTTCACTCCTATTTTTTCCTGTATACTTAGATAATCTATTCTCTTGGAATTATTGTATTCAGCATTTGGTTGATATGATGAATGCGATACGTTCTCATAACATGTTCGAAGCTGGTGAAGCATTACAACAATTCTTTGATTGGACGGCGATACGCATCAATGAAACGAGTAATATAAACCGTTCAATCACTGCTACTGACCAGCGTCCCTTACGTTATGCACCTTTGTTGCATGCGAGACTTGCTCGAGTTTTTGGATATAAGTAAGTTATGGTTAAAGATTTTGATGTAACGTGGTTTTAGCATATGTTCACGTCGTTATTCAAAACTTGCACAAAATTTAAGGGTTGTCTTTGCTTGTAGTATTTGCTTCTCTAAATACCAATAGTAAAAATATTGTTGTGGTTATTTAGAAAAAAAATGAATATTATAATTCTATATACGTGAGCATATAAAATGTGATTGTAGTGCAATGTTTATAGCTCATCTGTACCATTCTTTAGTAGATATGGGCTGATAGATCTTTTGAGGAGGATTTTAATAGTTCTTATCTTTTAACAATTAGTGTTCTCGAATTGGACGATTTGATTCTAATTTAGCTGTTCTAATTATTCAAAGTTAAACTCAGTTATTCTATGGAGTTAAAAAAGAAACTAATAGAGATATTTCATAGGGATCATGCTCGGCATTTTCTCTCTGAAGCAGTGCACCAAGCACAAACGAGCCACGATTTGGTCTGTTTACGATTGGCGGAGGTTGAACAAGCTGCAATCAATGCAGATGAAGATTTGAATTCAACCGGAGAAAACGATTCAGCTGATGAATCGAAAAGTAATGTTTATCTTTCATGATATCTTTTTTCTTTCTTTTTTCCTTTTTCAACTTAAGTAATATAAAAGAATGAAATTAAAACCAGTAATTTCGAAATCAACTTTTAGCACATTTTATTTCGGCGGCACTGCTTGCATCAATGTCGATTAGTAATGGTGAAACACAGGAATCAATAGAGGAAGATGATAAGATCAAAGCTGAAGAAGCTGATACACGAGCTTTTATTAAGCAACTCAATGACTGTGCTACATTGCAAAACTGTATTAGCCTAGCAAGATCTGCTAATGACCCAAAAAGGTAGAACTATATTATTTTGATATTGCTATTAGATGCTCCTAACTTTTCTGCTTATCTCAGGAACAAATAATCACTGTTGTAAGTAGAACTGTTTGATCATTCGTTTCAGAGCGTTGTAGAGTACTTGAGTTATTTTAAAATATATCCAATAAAACGTTTTATAGTTTACGTGAAATACAAAACTTCAGTATGATAAAGGGCTTGCAAATGTGTGCTGGTGCTGATTACGGTGTTGATCGAGAATCTCAGTCACGACTTGTGAATGAGGCTGCCCGTGTAATTTCTGCTACCATAAAACTTGCAAATGGTTTCGTCGATTCAGCTACGAGTGATTGCAATCGTATCCTCTATTTTAATCCGGGTGACCAATGGTGTCAACGATATGATACTGAGTCCCATGTAATGACTTCCGTTTGCCTAATTATTTTGTTTAAATCCTTTCTGAATCCTCATCATTATCAGTCCAACCGAAAACTTTTTTATTCTGTTGTTTTCTTTTACTTGTTTCTTTTTATTTTTCAGTCTTCTGCGG